CTTTAAAAAAAAAAAAAAAAAAACCTACTGATGACAAAGATCCGTCTTAAGACCAGTATTGCTCAATAAGGGGCAATTTGGCCCACAAGAGGACATTTCAGTTGACAGAGTAAGGCCAGCAGTACTACTAATTGTCCTAAAATGCAGATTGAATTAGACATGGCAAACTAGCAAAATCCTAGACTCATTTTCTTCTCAAAGTAAACCTACATCTTTATACTTGACCTTAGCCAAGAAGCGATAAGTGTACAACTTCATAGGAGCCACTGATTTTGAAAAGAACAGAAGACCAATGTGCTTACACCCCAGTTGAGTGTCTCAGTAGCTAGGAACTGCACCAGTGAGGGGGCTGCCTATGTCCATATGGAAACAGGGGGGCTTTCCTTTGGAACAAGGTCAGTGAACAATACAGAGATTTAATCATAGGATTTCCATTTGTTGAAATTTAAATCTCAGCTGGAGAATTAGAAAGGAGGGACAGTTTCCCTGTGAGTGTAGAGTTGATGAGGATCTTAGCCAGACTGTTTTGCCTGTTGGCACTGGCCTGGGCAGATGTCATAGAGATTGACATCACTTAATGAGCTGGGTTAGAGGCTCAAACACCCCAAACCTCTGCCATCAGTGGCTCTTGAAACTTTCAGTTATTTCCACTGCTGGAACCCAAGCCTTTGAGGAAAACACCACCTGAGGAACTTGCTATGTCTGGTCTCAGTTCTCTTGGGGTTTTCCACAGCCAATTCTCACAGAACACCTCCCATCTAGGCTGCCTTTTGTGACATTCACCTATAGCATTGTCTGCAGTATCTGAGCCCAAAGCTTCCTTAATGCTTTGCTGATCTCTGCTCCAATAGGGCAACACTCTACTTGTGATCGGAACAAGGCTACAGCTGGAGGGGCAGTTTCAGGTTGAGCTCACAGCAAATACTCTGTGAACTCAGTGTTTGCAGGACCCTCCTTCTCTGGCCTCATGAAGCACTTCCTAGGCAGAGTGTTGCTTTCCTGTAGCAACCTCAGTACTTCTCACCTCTCCAGCTCCCACCCTACAGCTTTTACCACAACTCGTGCTGGCTCTTGAGTTCCAGTAAGGGCTTTAAAACAACAACAAAAAAAAAACATCTCCTGGGGCCAATAGCATCACCTGTAACCTTCAATTCTAATATAATGCCAACTTACCAGGTATACAAAAGTTATCTAGCCTAACACATAGAAATAAACCCAGAGTACAGACCAAATGAGGACAGAGGAATATACCCCAAATGATGGATCAAGAAAGAATCCAGGGGTAAAAATCCTGCTGCAACACAATTAAACTAACAGCCTTAATTATGCTCACTGAAATTAGGAGTAGATGTACAAAATGAAAAATACAAGAAAGCATGGGAGAATTTTTAAACAAATTATCGCATTCTTCTGTAACTGAACTAAACAGGATCAGTCTTGAAAGACAGGGTAATGCAAAGTACCCAAACAGACCATTAAAGGGCTAAAAAATTAAACAAAATACGAAACACAGGTGAATCTTACAGGATAATATTGCAAGTAACACCATTTGCATCACAGGGATTCTACAAACAGAAAATTGAACAAATATCTGAGAACTTATTACCTCATCTGGGTAACAAAGCCTCCTACCCAAAACAATATACACAGGCAATGCAATTCCTATCAAAAATTCATTGGCAGTCTTCAAAGAAATAGAATAAATTACTAAAATTCATGTGGAACTCCAATAAACAAAACAATCCTGACCAAAACAGAATACGAACGCCAGTCTCATACTTCAAGTTAGATTATTATAGCCTTATAATTAAAACAGCACAATATTGGAACACACACACACTCCAATGTAATTAAGATTCCAGAAATAAAACCCAGATCTATATGGACAGTTAATCTATGTTAACAGAATATACACTGGATCAAGGAAAACCACAAATGGTGTTGGGGAAACTGGACAGGCACATGCAAAAGAATATATTAGACAATTATTTCCTACCATGAACAAACATCAGCTCAAAACTGGTAAAAAAAAGTTGGATTTAAGACCTGAAACCATAAAACTCATAGAAGAAAACCTACGCAGATACTTCACAACTTAAACCTTCAGTGATATCTTCACATGTTCATCTACAAGAGCTAGGACTATTAAAGATGATACTAAAGATCAAAACAACTCATACAAGTCAAAAAAGGGAAATAATCCCACTTAAAAATGGGTATAAGAGCTACTTAGGCACTTCTCTAAACAAGAGAAGGGGCCAACAGGCGTATGAAGAAAATGTTCATTACCACATACTGTCCAAGAAATGCAAATGGTTTCTACCACAGTAAGATACCACCTCACTCCTATAATTATGGCCCACATCAAAAAGACCAGTAGCAACTGTTGGTGAGGATGTGTAGAAAAAAGAACCCTGGGAATGAAGACTGGCCCACCCCTATGACAAACAGTAGGGCGGTATCTCAGTATTAAATACATATGTCATTACACTTATAATTATTTACCCAAAGAGTAAAAAAAAAACACTAACTTGAGGGGAAACATAGACTCCTTTGTTCAGTATAT